GGCCGTCCCGCCGTTGCGCGGGGTCGGGTCGTGCTCCCGAGGTGGGAGAGGGCTGAGCCACGGCGGGCAAATGCCGTTAGCGGCCGAGCGAGACGCTCCCGCCAGGGCCGCTCGGAAACCGCCAGGAGAGCTGCCCGCCGTCTCCGGCTAACGGGCTCTCCTGTACACAAACAGGAGAAATGAGGAGGCTAAACGAAGACCAAATAATTTCTTAAACGTAAAACCTCTTCCTTTTTGTGTGGTTGGTTTATTTATTTATTTTGGGCTTTTTTAAGCTGATAAACATTATGCTTTGGTTGATGGGGATAGTTTAATTTTTATTCAATGTTTTCCAAATTCTTGGCAACTTACAGTACTGCTAATGAAGCAATTACAGACAAAACTTGCAAAGTTACCATTGCAACGTTTTAAAATGAGCCTCGTGTAGCAACATCCACATTTGAAGGAAGGAAGAAGATACAAGAAAAATTATCTGACTGTATCTGAGAAAAAGGAGCACAAGAAACTGAAAGACTTTTATCCCTGAAGTACATAAATCAGGAGAATGTGTCATTACAAACTCCTCTTGCGTGAAACATGTAGATGCTTTACTGGGAAGTTGCGGCCCTGCAATACCTGGACGCTGCCCTCCGACTCGTGCTGGGGTGGCCGTTGCCTTCCCGTGGCCGTGACTGACCTCCTGCTCCTGCGGCAGCCCCCGGCGCAGTGCCGTGCCGTTCCCTTGCCCGCAGCTGGGCTGGCGCACCAGAAGCCCAGCACTTGTCTTCCCGTGCCAGCTGTGACTGGGCCCGCCAGCTGCCTCCCCAGCCCTCCCTGTCTTCATCCCTTTCTGTCCTGCTACCCTCACCCCACACCTCCAAAGGCAACTATGTTAATTTTCTTCCTAATTGCTGCTGCTGGGCTTGGTGTTTCCCATGAGCCTAGCCAAGTCACTGGTAATGTTGGTGCCTGGCTGCTGATTTGTGTAACTGTCCCAGCAGGAAATTTTGAGCACTTTTTATCACCCTCATGCTTTCCCTTCCTACCAAAAAACTTGCGCGTCGTTTCATATATTATGCAAAAAGCATAAATTTAAATGTATGGTAGCCCGCTGCTTCTCATTCAACCACAGGTTTGGCCTTTATGGCGATACAGCATTTCCTTGCATTGGGCTCTGTTTGCGCTGATTCTCTGTGCGTGGATGCTTTGGTCCTGGGCTGTGGTTTCTCTGTCTGAAAAATGTGGTAGTCTAAGACCTCAACTTCCTACTGCAGAAGTGACATGTTTTTGTAGGTGCTAGTTTGTCAGCTTAGCAACAGTAGTTGCACAAAACAATAGCGATGGAGCAAGCTGAGGACCTGTGTTTCTCTAGTGACATTTGCCTCTGAAAGATGGTTGATGAAGATGCGCTGTAAAAAGTGAGCTCATATAATAAGCTCTGATATAATGTTTATTAATTAAACTGCAGGTACAATTACCGCAGCCCATTTGTAAAGGGACCTCTAGTTTTGAAATTACAATCATGAGTTTTAGTGGTAGGTTTGTATTTGTCTAAGTGAATTCAGTGAAGCTGGTGGGTATCTACCTATCTTCATTTGTTCCTCGAATGGGTCTTGGGTATGAAATATGATGCAGACTTTAACATGTGGTCCATTTTTTCTAAAATATTTTAAATAACAATGACTTCAGGATGCAACAAATCCTGGTTGTGAATTTCTGAGACGTTCATATTTTTTTGCATTGTAGAAAAAGAAAAAAAAAACAACCAAGACCTGCTTACTAATTATTTCCAGTGGAATCTGTCCCAACACAGAATCATAGAATCATAGAAAGTTTTGGGTCGGAAGGGACCCCTAGAGGTCATCTAGTCCAACCCCCCCGCAGCAAGCAGGGACACCGCTAACTAGATCAGCTGGCTCAGAGCCCTGTCCAACCTGGTCTTGAATGTTTCCAGGGA